TTTTTTTTTTTTCTTCCTGGAGGAGAGAAAAGAAAGAATTTAAAATACCTATTCCCTCCTGGGCAAATGCCAGGCTAATAGGTTTGGCACAAAGTGGGGCAACTGACACCTGAAAGCTCACCACAAATTGTAGGTACCTTCTGTCAAGGAACCACAGAGAGCAGTTAGGAAGGTCCCAAATGTTGGCTACAGAAGGTGAGGCTCAGGATTCAGAATAACTAAGATAAATACTCCCATTGTCCCAAGAACCAACAACAGCTGTCCCATGTACCTTTTCCAAGTACCTCTTCATAGCATCTCTACCTGTCTCTCCTCCACATGTTCCCTCCCGTATACCTCCTCATGTGTGTCCCTTCCAGAAGTACAAGGGTGCAAGTCAGAGCCAGAAGAGCAAGCAAGCAGGAGCACATGCGTTCAGTTATCAGCCAGTCATGGCACCTAATTCATAAACCCCCTAGTACCCCGTGACCTCCATTCAGAAAGTCAGATTCATAGTATTCTAGAATTTGTAATCCTCGGTGTTTGAGATATTTTCAGAATGGAGATGGTGTTGAGTTTGTAAAAATTTTAGGTAGGGGAGGTCATTTAGATGTCATACATGAATTCAGGTGTCATACATTTCTCCTCATGGTTCTTCTAACATGCTGATAGATATGCTGAAGAAATGTAGATCTGGACTTAGTAAGATTCAGAGGCAAGACACTAGATTTGTTACATGTCAGTAAAGAATGAAGCTGTCAAGATGGAGTCGTTGAAAAAGAAAAATAAAATGGATCTAAAGACGCCCCTCCTTAGGAGTGAGGGAGAGGAATTTCAAGTCAGCAAAGAAGAAAGTATCATATACTGTGTCTTAAATTATTTCAGATTGTCAGGTCTGTCTCTGTCCGGGAATCAATAGAGAAGAGGTCCAAAGAGAACTTATTTGTATTTGTATTTATTTAAACATATATATATATAAACACCCTCTTCAACAGCTGTATGAACTAAACTTTACTATTTTGAATCAATATGGGTTTCAAGTCAAAATACATTAACCCAAAAGGTAGAGAAAGATATTAAGCCATATCACAGTTCCCTACTTATTCCAGTTTGGGACTAGTATCAGGAAGGAAAAACATAAACTGTGCTTGTCTTAGAGCTGTCCTTCAACCCAAACATTTGCTTAGAATCGGGAAATTTAAATGTGAAACCTGAAAGGTGATTACTTACTACTCCTATTATACTCGTTAACAACCTTCAGTTGTAAGAACTACAACTGATTCATGGCACAGCTGTTTTTGGAACCCAGAGTTCCTCACTTCCACTTTAGATCTATTTCTTCACTACTGTAAACAACCTTTAATGCACATCCCTGTGCCCTCCTTCCTCATTAAAACATAGACAGATGATTGACATAGAATGGATATCAGTACCTGATTCATCATGTTCTCTCATGAATCTGCTCAGTGTTTCAGTTTCCCAAGTGTATAATCCTGTAGTTATTCCATTCTGACTTCTTCATCCCTAATCATTCCTGCCATCTGTGGAAGGACCAGCCGAGCTCTTATTCTGTGCTAGTGTTAATACAAACCAAAGATAATGAGACATTTTTAGAATTCCAGGTGTCACCTCCTCCTTTATAGAGGAATATTGGAAGAAAAGAAGAAGATAAATTAGACTTGGTGTCAGGAACTTTTCTGCTTTTGTGGTTCCAGATCTTGTATTGACTTATATATATATAAATCTAGTATTTGAATAGATGGGGTCAGGAACAGTAGTCTCTCTTACCTTTGCATGGAAAATCAGAGAATGATTCTGACATCAAGGGAAGGCAGCAAACAGAACAGCATTTAACCATATAAGCAAACATCTGTGAAACAAAGGTGGTTAGGAGGCACTGATGTATATGGACTTGGCCAAGTTGAAAAGGACTCAAATACCAGAGGTTCAGTGGAGCTGTATGTTTTATCCATAAGTGTCTCTGTTCTAAATTTTGCCCAGTAATGAACTCAAATTAGTGGAATCCTATTAGGTGAACTGTTCCAAATGAGCAATAGGAAGAACATTGAAAAATGATCAGCCATTTTATATACCACTGCTAGAAAATCCTGTATTTGTTCTCATTTAAAGAACTCTTGATAAGCATTGCAATCCAATTAAACACCATACCCTCTTGTAATTTCAGAATATTCTGTTCTGTTATTGTGTCCCCTTTTTAATTCCCCTAGTATTGCCTGGCAACTCCATGTCTTGTAGATAACAGTGTTGATTACATTCTCTGCCTCCATGAAAGTCTCCCCCCTGTTGACTTCCTTCAAATTAAAAGACCAATGAAAGTCACAAATTTCAAAGGAACTGGAAAAAACAAAAATTCATTCCTGAAAAAATCTGAAGAGATTTTATGCCATTTTTTAAAATGCTGTTCAGAAAGAATTTAAATTTTAGGTTATCTTTTTGAAAAGAATTTAATAAGCACACACTTTTCTTCCAAGTCATTTTGTTTGAATCAATAGGAAAGAAATGTCTCTCCCTAAACAGTTTTCTTCTGTGTAGTTAATGAAAATCGCTGTCTACCACACACTGCAATTATGTTTCCTAAGCTTTGTATTAATAGTGGGATAGTGGAAACTGGAGCAAGATGAGTGGAGATATTATACCCAAAACCAATACATAAGTGCAATTAAGGTTGGAAACAAAATGGCCTCAGGTATTGAAAAATAGATGCATTACCTCCCCTGGGTTCTTCAATGCTGAGTCTGAGCACAGGACCTGACTACCTTTACAGACTTAATAGCTTTTGATTGGGTCTGTAAAATAATTCCTGTTGGTCCATTGGGAAAGCATGTCTCGAAGAGACAAGGACAATGGGACCACATTTGACCACAGGGAGTGAATCGTCTATTAAGTTCTGTTGAGAATAACTGTTTATATATATGTTAGCCAGCTATTTTCCATTTCTAAAGCCCCAGCGAATTTTGATAATCTGTTTACTTA